TTTTTGATGGGCAGAGATCTGCCGCTTTGGTTGAAGAGCCTGAAGGGCGTGACCTCTGATGTGAATGATATGAGCCAAGATATTTCGTTCGTGACTGGGTTGGGCCCAAGGCGGGACGGTCGAGCAAGGACAGGCTTCTGTCCTGTCTGTGCGAAGACCTCATCTTCAACGAGTGTGGCTGGGTCCAGGACGTCCCCGCCAATGCTGTGTAGTTTTGTTGGGCATCGCGGCACAACGTATGTGTGCCACTTGATAGGCGTCTCGACTTGGTGGGCGCCGAGGCATTCCGCCAGCTTTGCCTTACTTGTAAGTAGTCTTTCCTGTATTTGCTTGTTTCGCGGCTTCAGAGAGTAACCTGTGCTGATATGGTAGACGTGGGGAAGGTCCGCTAGCCCCAGGCCAACGGCCTTACAGACGATCTGTCGTACGGCGAACGGTGCGATCTTCCGAGCGGCCGCTAAGCTTTCTTCCGGGACGCGGGCAAAGATGCGGAGGTCCTCCTTCGGCTGCGCCTGCGGCTGATCCTCGGCGGGGAGTGTGGCCTTCGGGCGGGCAGAGCTCTGGCAGCTCTGGCCGCTCCGGGTCGCCGCAGTGGTGTTGCCCGCCATCGGTGCGACGACAGCCGCCCAACTCCGGGCCGCTATTGGGCTTGTCTCGTGATTGATCAGTCTCTTGAGGGTTTGAATGACATAGGCAGTGGCTTCTTTCGCGATCTGCTTTCTAGAACCGTCAAAGCTGGCGACAACGCTGTCGACGGACCGTGCAATGGTCAGAAAGACGTCTTTCCGTGCCTCGTACTGTCTAGCTTCTTCTGCAAGGGCTGTCAAGACGGACCCTGTGGCAGATCCGCTCGGAGCAGATGCGGTAGAGGCTGCGGGCCCCTCGGCCGAGGTAGGGGCGTCGGTGGTGGCATCAAGCTGGCTTCCCGTTAGGCTGGGCCGGGTCGGCTGTGCCTCGGCGTCGCGGCGTCGCTTAGCTCTTGAGGTGGGGTTCGGCTCCGGAGGTGTCCCGGAGCCTGGTTCGGGGTCGGCTTGGTCGGCCGACATCAGTCCGGTGCCCGACGGCGGCTGTGAGGCCATCGCGGATGCGGGCTCCGGCAAGGGGAGGTGAAGAGTTTTCGGCTGTTAGTAATTTGGTGGTAGGCTCACTCATTCACTAACAGCAGATGCCAAGAAAAATTAGGCGAGAGGGAAGTTTGACATATTCCTTATGTGCGTATATAAGAACAATCGATCATCCACAGATCGAGCTTGAACGTAGTATCGATCAACCAGTATACCAAGTTTCGACCAGAGCTCAACGACGCAGCATCTTTGAACATGAGACTCTCTGGTGTTTTTCTCGGCCTTGTTGCCGTCACGTCTGGCCATACAATCTTCCAGAAGCTCTCCATCAACGGAGCTGACCAAGGAGCATTGAAGGGGGTTCGCGCGCCTTCAAGCAACAATCCCATTCAGAACGTCAACGATGCCGGCTTCGCCTGCAACAATAACATTCAGTACAAGGACAACAATGTTGTGTCTATCGCCGCTGGTGCGAAGGTCGGTGCTTGGTGGGGACACATTATTGGAGGTGCTCAAGGCACAAACGATGCCGATAATCCCATCGCCGCAAGCCACAAAGGTGAGATCCTTAGCCTCGGGCTTTCACTTATCACACTACGTCCTTTGTTAGAATCCTGAATAATCGAAGTACTCACGCGGATGTAACAACAGGCCCTATCGTTGTCTACCTGGCCAAAGTTAGCAACGCTGCTAGCACTGGCACGACGGGCCTCAACTGGTTCAAGATTGCCGAAGCCGGCCTGAGCGGAAGTACATGGGCGGTTGACACCATGATATCAAACAATGGCTGGCACTACTTCACTCTGCCCTCATGCGTAGCTCCTGGAGACTACCTCCTACGCGTCGAAATTATTGCCCTTCACTCTGCCTCTACACAAGGAGAGGCCCAGTTCTATATGGAATGCGCCCAGTAAGTTAAACCACATTGTTACAAGGTTTAGAGATAGTTGATGACTCCTAACACTAAGTACTATAGAATTCGGGTGACTGGCTCAGGCACCAACGCCGGCTCTAACACCGTCAAGTTTCCCGGCGCCTACTCTGCGACCGACCCAGGCATTCTCATCAACATCTACGATGGTTCCGGGAAGCCAACAAACGGCGGCCGCTCATACAAAATCCCGGGCCCTTCTGTGCTTAGCTGTTCAGGTTCTGGAAGTTCTGGAAGTGGCAATGGGTCCCCTGCTGTTTCCAGCTCCGCTCCTGTGTCGAGCTCTCCTCCGTCCAGCGGCAGCGGCGGCAAGACTGTGGCTTTGTACGGTCAATGCGGCGGTCAAGGATGGACTGGCGGTACGACCTGCTCTCAGGGGACTTGCAAAGTCTCGAATCAGTACTATAGCCAGTGCCTGCCTTGAGTCTTGGATCTAAAGAGTTAGCTGGGGCTTTGGAAAGAATCGTAATGGGCTTCTGGGTTCAAACTGCGCGCGCTGATCGGGGGTTACATGTACTTCCCGACCAAAGGCAGTATGTAGCCACATACGGCTGACCGAACTTGTCAACCAACAGACAGATTGACAAGACATAATCATCGTTGATATATCTATCCTGGTCAATGTACCTGTTCTGTGCCATACTCTCTGTTGGAGTGTGTGGAGCCACAACTTTGAACGAAAATCACGCAGTGGATCCAACCTAGACACCCTAGAGCGCCGAAATGTTCAACAACAACTGGTCGGTTAGCTCAGTTGGTTAGAGCGTGGTACTAATATTTCACCAGAAATGTTCTGTAATGCCAAGGCCGGGAGTTCAAGCCTCCCACTGATCATGACCTTTTGCATTGGACGCCTAGGGATGCTTCCTGGCTCTTGGAATTCACTTTTGTGAGTTTTGGCGAAGTTTTGCTCCATTAGAAAGTGTGCCAGTGAGTCCAGCGTTTAAGCCCGGAACTGTGGAGACGGTGGAGCACGCACCCGGATCGGCAGTCTTGTTTCTCGCCGGTTCTCGCCGAGTCGCATTTCTTCCGCTTACGGACGTCGGGCCGGAACTGTCCACACTTTTCACTGATGATTTCGGGGAAGAGAGCCCGCTGCCTGCGGTATCCTCTAATGACATATCGACCAAAGTAAGACTGGACAGACATGGGCGTTCTCTAGGCGCCGAAGAAGGCCGGCCACGGCTCAAATGTTTATGAAGGCACATTCCACCCGGCTCCCGGCGCCGGTGGCATACGTCGCCGCGGCGTTCATCTCAACGTGAGCAACAATACCTAAACGTGTACGCGCACGAGCCAGATGCTGCACACGGACAACCGCGGGAAAAGCAAGAGGAAATGCCACAATGCCCCGACATTCTTGGGACGATCGTAAGCGTTTTTGCCACGGCGACGGGCCCAGCCAGGATTGGTAAGCCCCCCTCTCCCCGCAGAGCTGCCATCATCGTAAGGGGCGACGAAGACAGCTGCTAGTTGACGGACTAGACATGCACGATGCTGTCATCAGACCCCTGACCCAAAAGCAGAATCCAAAGCTTATTCTCGTCTTTCTCCATCATAATTCTGCATCTTTTGTGAACGAACCATTTGACTTGTCGATTCGCCTCGTATGATCGGCTGTGGGTCCTGATCTTCGAGCTTCTCTACGACCTAAAACCCCGGCTCGTCCCTCTTCTTGACCCCGATGAAGATACGTTCTTTCGGGGAAGCTTCACAAGTGACAGGAAGAGTCGAAACAAAGAAACGCCCAGTATGGAAATCGAAATCCCGGCTATTCATCCCGCAGTGGCAGTCAAGGCTCCGAGAGAGCCTCTAATCCTCATCGATGCCCCGACATATCTACCCGACGCCGGCGAGGTCATTGTCCAGGTAGAATGGACCTCCTCCACGCCCTACCATCTGCACCAAGCAGACGGCGGCCTACTGATCGACATGTTCCCCCGCATCCTGGGCGACACATTTGCAGGGACGGTGCTCCTGGTCGGGCCCGGGCCGCACCACGTCGACCTCGAGGTCGGAGACAAAGTTCTGGGGTACTCATTCCGTGACGACAAGGACGGCAAGGAAAAGGCTGCTCAAACCCTGATCACCGTCCCCACTTTCTTGTTGGGTAAGATGCCCAAGGGGCTGACGATGCAAGAAGCCGTGACTGTGCCTGACAACATTGTTACCGTCTTCCAGGCCGCCATCGATCTCGGACTGCCGCTCCCGTGGCCCATCCCGGAAGGGTGGACGCCCCCGGAAGCGGATGCGCCGATCCTGTTGTGGGGCGGATCCGGATCAGTTGGCATGTACTCCATTGAGGTGTTCCGGCACTGGGGTTACAAGAATCTCATGGTGGTCGCGAGCCGGAAACATCACGAGTATCTCACCTCGCTAGGCGCGACGGCTTGCTTCGACTATCGAGATAAGCATGTGGTCCAGAGCATCCAGGATCATCTAGGGCCCAAGGGAGTCCCCTACGTTATCGACTGCATTGGACACTTGTCGGGATCTCTCGGGCCCATCACCCATCTGGCGGACCGAGGCACCAAGGTTGCGGTTATGCTCCCTGTCGTTATCAAAGACCCGACAGAGATCGAAGCTCCTGTATACCAGATGACGGAGCCTGCAGAAGGGCAATGGAAAGAAGGTGTTGTCGTGAAAGGTGTCAGAACACATTTCTATCTCAAGGTATTGCATATTTCCCTTGAAAGATCTTTGGATACATTGATTGCTGACTGAAGTTTGACGTAGAACAAATTGTTCAAGGACAAAATGCAATGTGAGATAATACCATCGTTGCTGGAGCAAAAGGTGGTGAGGCCAAACCCGCAAAGGATAGTCGAAGGAGACACATTACTGGAGCGGGCTCAAGATGCTATTGTGCTCCTGCGGAACAAGGCTGTAAGTGGTGAGAGACTTGTTTGGAGAGTGTCAGAGAACGAAGCCGTTGTTTAGTAATTTGTACCAAAAAGCGGTCCTCACACTTAGCAGGGAAAATAGTGCTTATACGAAAAGGTCATACAGGGTCGGCTGTCTTCTGGTGACCCTTGTTCAGAGTCACAAAACTGGTCTGAGTCTAGACCTATGGCTTCTACTGCAGCTTATTATGCTCATAATCAGCAACGGCAATGTTTCGTAGCCTCGGCGAATTCGAAGGTACCACGAAATGTGTCGCATGTTCTCAAGGACATCGCTAAATACTATTTGGGAAAGAGACCGGGATAGAAAGGAATGCCACTAGGCAGACAGATGCATAATGGGAAGAATTGCGTGTCGTCATGAGATCAAGGCCGTATTCGAATCCACCGGAATTGAAGCTATGCCATCGCGGCTGCCCCGAGAGCGCGCGGTAATCTTCAGCATTGCGTCCATAATTTGTCTCTCTTCAGCTGGTGGTGCTTAGTTTGGTGGCTCTCTCCGGTGGAAGCGAACTGTGGAAGTGACATTCGAACATCTACATAGAGTACACGCAACATGCTTTGAAGGCAATAAAACACTGCTGCTAAGATTTCCTGGAGGTTTGTATTCTACCCGTAACAGCAAGTCGGGATGGTCAGTCTCTGCTACCTATTGTCGCAATCACCATCTTCCTTTACCTTCAATCTTTCCCACCGCTTCTCTATTTATTCATCTCGACCTTTATATCCCACTCGACTACCAACACCATCACTGTCACCCTTCAGCAGGTCGCCAAGATGATTGATCACTCACTACTTCACCCTACCATGACCGACGCCGATGTTCCAGAAGGCTTGCGCATCTCCAAGAAGTACGGCGTTGCCACGGCATGCGTGAGCCGTACCTTTTTCCCCTCGCCAAAGAGGAGCTCCAGGGCAGTGGCGTGCTTGTCTGCCCTGTGATCGGCTTCCCGCACGGCAACAGTACTACCGAAGTCAAGGTCTTTGAAGCCAACCAGGCAGCTGCCGCTGGTGGCAAAGAGATTGACATGGTCGCCAATATCGGCAAAGTCCTGCGAGGCGAGTGGGCCTACGTTGCTGAAGAGATTCGCCAAATCAACGATGTGGTCGTCCGCCATGGCGCAATACTCAAAGTTATTTTTGAGAATGACTATCTCGAAGAGGAGCATGTTATCCGACTGTGCGAGATCTGTTCCGATATTGGCGTCGCATTGGTCAAGACTTCAACTGGGTAAGGCTTCGTAAAGCAGCCTAATGGCTTGTACACTTACAAAGGAGCCACTGTTCGGCATCTGCAGCTTATGAGGGAGCACTCGAAGCCCGAGGTCCAAGTAAAGGCTGCTGGAGGCATTCGGACGCTGGATGATCTGCTTCACGTCATGTCACTTGGGGTCACCCGAATTGGCGTCACTGCTACCGTTGCGATTATGGAGGCTGCGGTCACGCGTGGAATCACGGATCAGCCAACTGAGGTGGAGTTTAAGCCCATCAGCGGGCCATCGACGGGAGGTTACTGAGTTACGTGGAAGTGTAGCAACCTCTTATATGTATCTAGCTACGTTGAACTTAGCATCTCTCGTGTTATGTTGAAGAAATTTCTTTCAGGCCATCAGACAAATTCCTACGTCGATAATTTATCACAATCAGATGACGAGTGGAAGTTAGCCTTTTGGCCAAAAGTCATGTCCGTTGAGATATCTTGAAGGGTGCACACATAGACTGCCAACGTCTACTCTAGGGATTTACCGGGTCTCGGAGCCCTGATACAGGAAGTAATAATGATAATAAGAATAGCCATTTTGGCTAAGTTCTTGCATTTGCTGGGGTGGAAATGCTAGCTGGACCTGTTCGGAACGTCGTGTTGGTCAAATGCTTGACCGGAACGAATTACCGTAAATGGCCTAGCGCATTACTAGCTTTAGTCTTTCATTCCGGTGGAACTCTCTGTTCTTCCAAGTACAACCTCAGACTCACATCTATCTACACGTCAACATTTTGTGCATCGAATTGAGCCAACTTTCGGGAATGAATATGTTGGAAGATACAGTTCCCATGGAGTCGAAGAGACCGAGGAGAAAGGTTACAGCCGCATGTCAACGCTGTCGAAAACAGAAATTGAAGGTAAGCTGCCCATTCATTTGAGCCCGGCAATGTTGTTTCACATATTCTAACCACCTTGGCCAGTGTGATACTCAACGTCCTTGTACTCTGTGTATCAGAGCCGGAGTAACATGCATTAATGAGACACCTAGCATGTGGAGGGTCCAGGGGCCCAACATCACTCCGTCACGGACTCGGAAGGCAGACAGGGTGCCAGGCACGGGCAGGACTCGTCTAGCGAAACGGGACCGTCGAGCAACCGGACCGGAGGAAGCCACCGAGCCAAGCACGTCTCCCGTCATGGTTACTACCATGCCACCCTTGACACTTTCACCGGGACGTCAGTCACTTCACGATGAATCAAGTCCCGCACCTCGGGCATCTTCGGAACAGGTTACCTCCAGCAGACCATGGTCAACGAATTCGGCCGCAGTCAGCTTCCTAGACGAGGTAACTATTGTCAAATATCAATGCTGGGATAGAAATTTTACATCTGACTCGGGTTCTGAGCAAGGCATTTCAACACCACGACATACACACGCCGGAAGAAGCAGACACTTCAGCTTTCGCAGCTACCGAGTGGACTTCGCGAGGTACCCACGAAGACGCCAGAGAAGCCGGTGCTTCCATCCAGTCATTAGCTCGACCCCTTTCCCAACAGCGGATCCGATCTATCTCACGGCACCATGGCGCCATGAGCGCAGCCCAAAGAGACTTTCTTTCCGTCTTGCCAGCTCAAGCCCCTGTGGCATTGCTTATTAACATTTACTTCGAGAAGATCCATTGGTTTATGATGATATTCTTCACAAGCGAGTTTCGGGCCCGAGTTCAAGAGCTTCACACGACTGCATCACCGGGATCTTCACCAAGAAAAGCGAATCCCGGTATACTTGGTCTTGTGCTTGCTGTCTGCTTAACTAGCCTCCGCTACGCCAGCCCCGAGCAGCACTCTCAACTCATTGAACTTGGCGTTGATCCAGATTCATTGCAAGAAAACATATTGGCGACGCTGAAGGTGAGATTCCTCGACGTCGTCTCCTTGGGATCCATCGAGGCTGTGCAGATGTGTATCCTGTTAGGAAGTTTCTACCTGTATCACGGGGAACCCGAACTCGCCTGGCCGATTTGCGGAAGTGGTCTGCGCATCGCCCAAGCTCTCAAACTTCATCAACGACACAAAGATGAGGATGAATCCTTGACGGTACCCGATGTTGATAACCCAGTCCACAGGACAGCTGAGACGCGCAAGCGATGTTGGTGGGCCATCTACGAGATTGAGACCTTTTGCTCGATGCTGTACGGCTTTCCTCTTAGTATCGTGGACGAGGATTGTAACGTCGAAGTACCCGAACAATATCCCTTGCGATCTAAAGATGCGTCTTGGGAGTCAATCAGATGGAAATCCACCGGGAAAGCTTCTGTACTCTCATACAAGGTGTCGATGGCGCAGCTGTCGATCATCGTGAAAAGGGCGCTCTCAGAACTATACGGAAACCGAAAGCAGCCCGACAGCAATGAGCTTGGTGCAAGGACCGAAGGGCCACTAGTTCAACGTCTCATAAACACCGTCACTAGCCTGGACCAACAAATCCGTGAATGGCACGGCCACCTCCCGCAAGAATTGGTCTTCAAAGAAGACGAGAGTGCAACCGCAGCTGGCCGCCCCTGGAGCGCCAATCATTCTCTGTGCCCAGAACACCATCAGCACACTTTTCGTATCCAGGGGCTAGCACTCAAACTCGCCTATGAAAATGCTAGAATTTTGGTGCATAGGCCCTTGTTAGCCTATAGAGCGATGAAGAAGATCAGCACGACCGAAGGCTCCGATCTCCGTTCAACCGGGGAGAATGATCCGCTCCAGGGCTCGGTACGAAGTTGCCGAGACGCGGCCTTGCAGATTGCCAACATTGGCTGCACTCCGCACTTCAAAGAGGTAATAGACACCTATGCGTTATCTTTTGTCGCATTGCATCTTTTCACTGCCGGTGTCACGCTCTCAATCATGACGGGACTAGACCCATTGAGCCGGGAAGCCTATGATTCCAAAATGGGCCTTCGAAAGTTGATGGAGATGCATTCCCAACTCAAGTCCAAGTCTGTTGTTGCTGAACAGGGGCTGAACATTCTCACGAAACTGATGAAGCTCGTTATGACTAAGGAGATGGAGAGAATGCTTCACTTGGATGTTCCGCCTCAGACGGGATCCGACCAAAGTGGAAGAGACAATGAAACAAGTGGTAGCTCGATCACGATAGAAGTCACTAGCCGAGGCACCGAAACAAACGCCATGGACCCAAGCAGCAACAACATTCAGACCGCGCTACAACAAAGCACACCAGCGGCTGACATGGCCGAGGATGCCGCAACGAGTCTGAGCTTTAGCGAGGACCCAATCATAACGCAAGCGCTCTCGGAGTTCGAGCAAAGTAAGATGAAGTCCCCCAACTATATTTCTTAGCTGACAATAGTTTTAGTCATGATGTATGATATAAACGGTGTCGGAGAGGGAGACCCGGTGGAGTTCAGCGAATACCTAACTGAGAGTTGTTTCGGGAGACAGGATCAGGGATGGATATGGAATCAAGGACACTCGTTTGCGAGCTAGTCATTGACTTGAACCAAGTTTCAAGGTACACCTAAGTCTTCTGACTTGTCCTGGTCTAGATGAATTCTGCCGGTATTGTCCACCCGGTTTGGTTTCCTGGAGAATCGCGGGGTTGTCCCCCCACCGGAGCTCGAACCTGCCTTGCTCCGGCGGGGTAACGAGATTGTCGAAACCAGCCAACCTAGTGATTCTTCATGCTGGAAGCGTGGCCTCAGCTTCAGAAGCCCCTCGGGCCCGTCTTCTCGACGATACTCCCGGTGGAGATGCTTCGAAGAATTGGGTCATCATGGTAACGGATGTTCCTGTTACCGGTGATCAGGCGCCAGCGTTAAGTCCGTTGGAGAGGAAAACCGCCGATGCGTTCCCGGATAGAATAACGGGTCGAAGCTTGTGAGGAGATCTTTATTTCTGGCTTTCCACTTGCCTTGCAGGTTCCGTGTTCTCTGTTTATCTACTAGTTCTTTGTCAACCGTTGCCTGTATTTCTAGAGTGAATTCGATCTCAATACTGCCATCTCATCAGAAATCCAATCACAATATCCACCATGATTCATCAAAAGGACGGCCTTCTGATCTATCAGTATGATGGAGAGCAAGTATGGATCCAGCCATGGGGTCCAGATGCCTTCCGAGTCCGAGCTACCAAGGCCCATGTGATGCCAACTGAGGCATGGGCCTTGGAAGAAGAACCAAAACAGGTCAAATCAGAGATATCACTCGCCGAAGGCGGCTCAGCCACTATACGCAATGGAAAGGCAAGGGCAGTTGTAAGCAAGCGGGGCAAAATCACCATCTACAACGCCAATGATGTCGTCGTCCTTGAAGAGTACGCTCGCAATCGTCGCGACCTACTCGATGCCAAGTGTAGCGCCATTGAGGTCGAGGCTCGCGAGTTCAAACCTCTTCGGGGCGGCGACTACCACCTCACAATGCGCTTGGAGAGCCAGCGACCCGACGAAAAGATTTTTGGGATGGGCCAGTACCAGCAGCCCTTCCTGGATCTTAAGGGCCTCGACCTTGAGCTAGCACACCGTAACTCGCAGGCCAGTGTGCCTTTTGCGTTGTCTTCTCTAGGCTACGGAATCCTTTGGAACAATCCCTCCATCGGTCGCGTTGTGTTTGGAAAGAACATCACTGTCTTTGAAGCGTATTCTACCAACATTCTGGATTACTGGGTGGTGGTTGGTGACACGCCCGCCGATATCGTGCAGCGTTACGCAAGTGTGACTGGCAAAGCTCCCATGATGCCCGAGCACGGCCTGGGCTTCTGGCAGTGCAAACTCCGGTACGAGACTCAAGAGGAGCTTCTCGAGGTCGCCCGGGAGTACCGCCGTCGGGAGCTTCCCCTCGATCTCATCGTTATCGACTTCTTCCACTGGCCATTGCAAGGCGAGTGGAAATTTGACCCTCAGTATTGGCCCGATCCAGGTAAGAGCAGCTTGTTGATCAACCACGTCTGCAACAGCAACTAATTCGAGCTCTAGATGCCATGATACAAGAGCTCCGTGATTTGGACGTCGAGCTCATGGTCTCAATCTGGCCGACAGTGGATCAGAGATCGTCAAACTTCCAAGAGATGCTCGAGCAAGGATTTCTCGTCCGCACCGAGAGAGGCATCCGAACCAACTTCGAGTTCGAAGGTTCCACCGTATACTACGATCCCACCAGCCCTGGGGCTCGTAAGTACGTCTGGAACAAGGCCAAACAGAACTACTTCTCAAAGGGCATCAAGACATTCTGGCTCGACCAAGCCGAGCCAGAGTATTCCGTCTACGACTTTGAAAACTACCGCTACTTCCTCGGCCCGAACCTGTCCGTCGGTAATATCTATCCTAAAGAGTACGCACGAACGTTTTTCGAAGGTCAGAAGGAGGCCGGCCAGGAGAACATCGTCAACCTGCTACGCTGCGCGTGGGCCGGCAGCCAGAAGTACGGCGCGCTCGTCTGGAGCGGTGATATCGCGTCCTCGTGGGGCAGCTTCCGCAATCAGCTGGCGGCCGGGCTGAACATGGGCATCGCGGGATTGCCCTGGTGGACAACCGACATTGGAGGGTTCCACGGCGGCAATCCCGAGAACGAGGCCTTCCGCGAGCTCTTTGTGCGGTGGTTCCAATGGGGTGCGTTCTGCCCCGTGATGAGACTGCACGGAGACCGAGAACCGAAGCCGGGCGGCCTGGCCTCGAGCAGTGGAGCGGCCAACGAGGTCTGGTCGTATGGCCCGGCGGTGTATGACATCTGCCGCAAGTATCTCTTCATTCGCGAGAAGTTGAGAGACTATACGCGAAGACTGATGGCTGAGGCGCACGAGCACGGTTCGCCTGTGATCCGATCGCTGTTTTACGAGTTCCCCGGGGATGAGAGGTGCTGGCAGCTTGGGGCTGAGCAGTACATGTATGGTGATGCCTATCTTTGCTGCCCTGTTGTCAACCCTGGCATCACCGAGGCCAAAGTCTATCTGCCCAAGTTGGGTGGTGGAGAGCAATGGACAACTCTTCCTCACGAGGGCTTCAAGGAGCAGGACTTTGAGGGCGGGCAGGAGATTGAGATACAGTGCCCTCTAGATTGGATGCCAGTGTTTGTTAGAAAGTCAAAGGCAGAAGTGGTTCTGCAGAAGTCAGAATAGCATAGATTTCTCTAGTTGAACCATCGGGATGCTGGAGACTGTAGCTAGAACATGGACAATGTTCAACGTCGCATCCGGCGCTGTCCCCCTCTTGGCCACCACGCTTTTGGCGAGTTACAGCGGAATAGTGAGAGAAACGGCATGACCTACAAGGGGTCATATGCCGCTCAAATGAACGGTGTTCCTCCTTACCCCGCGTGCGGCTAGTCGCCCCGGAACTCATCTCATCTCGCGTTTCTCGGGGTAAACACGCCACTGAGCCCAACTGTCTTTAGTGCATACTCTCCGCCTTGTTTTCAAATGACAGGAGACTAACTAGCAGGTCTTTGACGCTCACTCCTTTTCTCTTCACATCTCTCTCAGAGATCCAGCATGAAGCGCTCACTTGCTGAACAAGATACTGTGTCTACTTCATGAGTAAGATGACAGCACAATGGCAGCGACCGAACAGGCCGGCAATGAGCGGACAGACTCAACGTCCGAGAGTGAGGACGTCATCGCCGTCGCGAATCCAACGGCTGATGCACCAGTGTTCAAATGCGACTATTGTGGAAGCACCTTTGGGCGCCAGGAGCATCTCACTCGGCATAAGCGATCGCACACTAGAGAAAAGCCTTTTTCATGCTCGGCATGCGGCAAGAGCTTCTCCCGATTGTACATTATTATAATTTCCTCACTGGTCTTATTTACTAACGCGATTATAGGGATGTTCTCACTCGTCATGCGGCCTCTCATGATGAGGTCGCAAATGAGTCTCGGCGGCCCGTGGCATCTTCCAGGGCATGTCAGGCATGCGCTGTGAGCCGTTCGCGATGCTCAAAAGAGAGCCCCTGCCGTCGCTGCACAGGTAAAGGTCTCGAGTGCAAATACCCAGCTGGCCGCCGCCGAGGTCCTCGTGCAGCGTTACGGTCTCCGGACGAGAGTGCTCCTCCCAGAGGTAGACTTGATAGCCAGGGAGAGGTCATGGAGTATTCCGATCCAGTGCAAGTTCCACAACCTCCAGGGATGACCGAGATACCATTCTCGACCCCGAATCATGCGCCAGAAAGGCGCGCAGTCGAAACCTCGTGGACTCTTCCGCAAGTCACAGGAGACAACGGTCAACATTTTCAAGTCAACAACTGCGAAGTAGGTTACGGGATGAATCCCATGAACAACTTTATCCAGAACGAGGAATTTCCCGAGCAATCTGCTGGTATTTCGGCCATCAATTGGCTTTCTCCTCAGTACTACTCAGATTTTGATTGGGGCATCATGTCTTCTGTAAACGAGAGAGAAGCTTTTCCAGCCAACCTGGACGGTGTGCAAACCGTCATGAATGCCTATGAGGCCGTACGACAAGGGCCTTGGCTGAACCTCCTCAACAGTCAGCCAGTCCAGGCTTCGAATGCCGCACTTCCACCAGCATCAGCACAACAGCTCAATCCATCAGGAACGACGCCCAGGAGTAGACCGAACGGAAGTACGACTGGATCCGTAGAATCGTCATCAACCACAGCGACTTACTATGTCGATGGTGCTCCATCTAGAGCACCTTTCAAGGGTCGCCCGTCACAAAGAAGTCTAGTCTTGGATAACTTGAACACAGCGCGGCCCGAAGATGACACTCCGACTCCTAGCACAGCGGCTCTAGGCACCCCGAAGGATTCTGATGAAGCGACAGGGCTTGATCTATCTGTGCAGGCCTACGATAACCTTCTACAACATATCAACACTGAACCTTTTCTTCAAGGCCGTAGCGCGACACCACTTCCATCAATAGCACACGCTCGAGTTTATTTCCGATTGTACTTTCAACATTTCCACCCCGCTTATAACTTCCTACAGAAATCGACCGATTTCTATCATGAGCCAGCAAATTGGCCACTTCTGTTGGCAGTCTGCGCGATTGGCTCAGTTTACTCCCGTGGCGAGGTCAATCTCTGTTTCAGGGACCTATTTCTTGAACTTTTGGAAAGCGCGGTACGATTTTACATCTCAACAGGCGCCCTGGATGATGCGGCAGGCTCATGTCAAGTGTCACTGGCAAGCCCTGGGGAAGATTCAGTAGGTCTAGTCATTGCTCAAACGTCTACCCTCTGGTTGATACACAACCTGCACAATGGTGTCTTCGGCGATCGCTACGATCTGGCATTCCTAGTACGGCACTTCTTGATCAATGCCTGTCGAAAGATGGATCTGCTGGGTAAACGTGAGGATACGCAACAAGTAGCGCAATACGTAGATGGACCACATGCCCTCACAAGATGGCTGGAGAGGGAGGCCAGACTAAGAACTGGCCTCATGATATGGGTACGTGCAAGACGCTAGTTGTAGTTCACAGAGTCCATGAACTGACGTGTCTTTCGTACTCTAGATTCTTGATGCTATTGTATTCCTGGAGAGGGGTCAAGATGTATTACTCAAATTGGGCGATGCAAAAGGCCAGATGCCGTGCCTTGATTCTATCTGGGACCAGCCTACTGCAAAGAAACTGGGGCAGCTGCAGTCTAAGCCAGGTGTGTAACTCGACCGTCCAACACAATCATGGCACCACTCAAACTCACACATCGAGGAACCCGCAGTCACTTTACCTGAGGCCATGGAAATGCTCTACATGGAGAAGAGACTGCCACCGAACCTGGCTGACTTCAGCACCATGGTGCTCACGTACGCCATCATCAGGCGTACCAAGGAAGCGATATACCACAACCAGATCAGGCTCAACTCATGGACACCGACAGCCGACGTCCAGAAGTGCGGTCCTGGTGATACCGCCGAGGAGACTTGGCCCCCGTCGCTGCCTATCCTATCGAGATGGCGGAACAGTGCCTGCGACTCCCTCGACCTCCTCCACTGGAACGCTAACGCGATCATCGCCAAAGCGGGTGGATGGGAGCATCCCGTCATCTTACATCTCCACCTATCTCGCCTCGTACTTCTCGCTCCTATAACACACTTACAAACACTAGCCGCTGCCGCCTCGGCGCGAGCATCCTCCCGCAACGTTGACAACTCCAAAGTTGAAAAGGCGAGATCTCTCGTCACCCAGTGGGCTCTGCGTGACCAGTACAAGGCCAGACTATCGGTCGTTCATGCAGGCGCAATGCTTTGGCACATCCGTCGCTACAGCGTTGGCAACTTTCTGGAGCCCTTTGGCATATTCACTGCAACATTGGTGGTTTGGGCGTACAGCACGATGATGCTGTTCATGAAGCGGCATCAGAACCCGAGCTCTCACTTGGCCAGCGACGGCCCCGGCCAGCAACATAGCCCGATGGAGGCAGTGGCAGAAGTTGAAGAGGACCCAGAGCCTAGCTTCCTCCACCTCGACCGGCCATGTGACGACGAGATGGTGCAGACTTATGTGAGGCTAGGCCATAAGATGGCGGGCCACATGGCCAAGGTGGGTGATATCTGCAATGATGGGGCTCCTCGAAAGATTCTCAAAGAAGGGATGCAGATGCTCAAGGGGAGACCGGAGCAGAACGGAGACACAGCGAGTAGCGTTGGGAGCGGAGGTGCAATCGAGCATGGCAGGGGGCACTCGGTCTGGGGAGCAGAACGAACATACGCCGATCTCCTGGACTCGCTCGTTCAGTCCACCGCGGACTAGGTTATCCCTCCTCGAGAGCGGGCGATGGACTCTCCACCGGAGCTGGCAGCCCGGTATAGCCATGGATCGGGTGGTTATTCTAGTGAGAAGTTAGAAAACTCCGGTGGGGGTGGAGACATCATGCCACAAATGGCAAAGACAATTACCCAAACAAGCCATCAGATGGCACGACGACTTCTTTGTGCCAGAAAGGCTAATTACCACAAACTCTTTCTCCGCATGTTACCCCGGATCTTCGACTGACAACATGCGGGGACAACGTGTGTTCCAAGCTGTGGGATACCGTCCCGACGAAGAAGACAGTGACCAGAAACAATATCCTTCTGGCGTTACATGCGTCTCTATATCATGTCTAGATTCTCCACCATCTCCGAACCTCGCTTGTCGATCATCTTCACGACGACGCTGATAATTGCACTGTAACACGTTGAAGGTTCGAAGCTATCACCAACTCTCATTCTCTATCATTTACCTTACGTTTTAGAATCAAGTCATTCATCAGCCGCCGCAATGGGCACCACCAAAGAAGAGCCACTCGAGATCGGTCAGCTCGAGCATGCTCCCACCGGGGACTATGCTATCAAAGACTTGGCCATGGCCAAGCAGGCCGCAGACAACGAGCACAAACTTGGCTTCATGGAGGCTATCCGCCGCTATCCCAAGGCTGCCATGTGGTCTGTCCTCGTCTCCGCCGCCATCATCATGGAAGGCTACGACATCGTCCTCATCTCGTCCTTTTTTGCTCAGCCCGCTTTCAAACGACACTACGGCGAATACCTCCCCAGCAAGGGCACGTACGAGATCACAGCATCCTGGCAGAACGGGTTGAGCAATGCAGTCAGTGTCGGTACAATTATCGGCGCTTTCGCGAACGGATACTTCACCCATCGCTTCGGGTACCGAAAGGTTCTTCTCGCATCCTTGGCTAGCATCGTCGCCTTTATCTTCATCTCCTTCTTCTCGCCGAACCTCCCCGTCCTCCTCGTCGGCCAATTCCTCTGCGGCATCCCCTGGGGCGTCTTCGCGACAACTGCTCCAGCTTACGCCTCCGAAGTCTGCCCGATGGCGCTGCGCGGCTACCTTACCGTCTTCGTCAACCTCTGCTGGGCCCTCGGCCAGCTGATTTCAGCCGGTGTTCAGGCAGGCTTCTCCGATGGCAGCAACCAGTGGTCGTACCGCGTGCCGTTTGCGATTCAATGGGTCTGGCCGCTACCGCTTTTCGCCGTCTTATGGTTCGCGCCCGAATCCCCTTGGCATTTCGTCCGCCTCGGCGACTATGAGCAAGCCGAGAAGTCTGTCCTTCGTCTCGGCTCCGCGTCCGAAGCCGTCAATTCGAAGCAGAAAGTTGCCATGATGATTCATACTAATGAGATTGAGCAGCAGATGGACGAAGGAACCTCGTATCTCGATTGCTTCCGCGGCGTTGACCTCCGGAGAACCGAGATCGCCTGCATGGCATTTGCTGCACAGCCTTTTTGCGGCTCTGCTATGGGAGGTACACCAACCTACTTCTTCGTCCAAGCCGGTTTGCCGGAATCGATCTCGTTTCGCATGTCCGTCGGTGGCCTCGGTATTGCCTCTGTTGGTACGATCGTATCATGGGGGCTTCTCGGTCGCTTCGGTCGTCGCACGCTGTATCTATGGGGTCTTGGGGCGTTGGCTCTGATCCTCCTCGTCGTCGGTGCCATCAGTGCCGGTGCCCCTAATTCGGATGGTGCGAACTACGCTCAGGCTGGCATGATGCTGGGTTGGCTTGGTGTCTACTACCTCACCGTCGGACCAATCTGTTACGCCATCATCTCCGAGGTTTCCTCGACTCGTCTCCGCAACAAGAGCGTTTGCCTCAGCCGTATTGCCTACTACATTGCTCAGATTGTCTGTAATGTCATCAACCCTTACATGCTCAACCCAACGGCCGGTGACTGGAGAGGAAAGACGGGTTTCTTTTGGGGAGGTTGCGCCTTTGTTTTCTTCATTTGGACTTTCTTCCGCCTCCCTGAGACAAAGGACAAGACATTTGAGGAATTAGACATTCTCTTTGCAAGGCGCGTCAAGGCATCCAAGTTTGCATCTTACAGAGTCGATGCTTATGCCAGCGGCGACGAAGTCCTGGCCAAAGAAGGCTGAGTTCTTATCCAAACCACTTGTCCCCTCCTTTAGAGTAGGAGATTTAGTTTCATACCTTCGTCAAGAGTCTTTCGTATTGCAATTGGACCTAATCCATGCTGTTACTGCCAATCCTTTGCTTGAGAGCCTGATTATATATCAAACATCGAGTCATCGACCAGCCATAGGTTGGATTGTCCTGTCATAATGATGAATAGATCAGCGAGTTATAATTCAGAGCTTGAGTTCGTTCCTCCATACTTCTAGAAACCAGTACCGTCGCTACCGTAGCTATACCTTGCTATTCTTCAATCAGTCTCCTTTATTAAAAAAGTACTCGACCTATTTACTCAGTACCAGTGCTACAACTTACCTGTGAGCAACGTGTTCAAATCGGAATTCCAGATGCATCTTGGTTTGTAATGCTTTAGATCATGAAGTCGAGTAGTAGCCAGGCATTGGGTCCCAGATGACAACCTCCGTAATCATCCCACAGGTCTGCGGTAAATGATGATCTGCGCTCATGATGGCGGCAAGTAAAGATTCAACCTCAGACGCGACGCGTCTTCCGGGCTGTGCCATTTTCTCCGTTCGTGATACTATTGTGAACCCCGCAGAAGTGTCGCAACGCCCGGTGGAGGAGGATCAACGTTGTGTTGATAGTGGATGTTCCCATCCGCTCTTCCCCGCGAATTGTGAACGAGCTCTTGCAGCTTCACCTTGGCATGCGGGGAATTGGAGGATAGCGTCAAACGTCGCACAAGATGCGCCGATCTGCCGTGTGCAAGTATCTGTCAAAACATTTACTCCGGTGGGGTGGTTCATACTTGGAATGACTTCTCATCGCGACGAGGCATCGCGATGTAGGTATAAAGTAGGAAGTTTCGTAGATGAAAGGATGATTGAAAGCATGCAGTCAACAGCTGATTCATCTTGACACGACACCATTCAATCCTTCCGTCATTGACATGTCTTTTCTCAAGGCTTTCTCTGCCATTGCAGCTCTTACAGCTGGCCATGTTACTGGTCTGGCTGTACGACAATCCCCAGCTGGCACAGCAACTGTCGATATCGCGAACCCTAGTGGTCCAGCCAGATTTCTCGGTTCCGGTTTCATCTACGGGTTCCCCGATAACGGAAGAGAGATTGACACCTCCATCCCCGACTACTTCGTTACTGACATCAAGTTCCACGCCAGCCGTGCCGGGGGTGCCCAGATTCTAGCTCCTGGGTGGATCGGCGGACTCGACGGATACCAGCAGCGCTTCGACTCGGCCCTCTCCAATTACCGGACCACGCGCAAGTACGGAGCTGATTTCATCCTCTTGCCCCACGACCTCTGGGGTGCCGATGGCGGCCAGGCGGGAGGTTCAATCTTCCCCGGTGACAATGGCAACTGGACAGAGACTGAGCTTTTCCTCCACCGTCTTGTCGATGACATTAAGTCTAATAACATGCTCGACGGGCTTGTCTTTGATATCTGGAACGAGCCTGATCTTGACATCTTCTGGGCTCGATCGTGGGATCAGTACCTAGAGTATTATGTCCGGGCTCACAAGATCATTAGGTTTGATAACCACTCACTATTAATCATTTCGATGTCACCTAACAGAATCTCAGGGCCGAACTTCCAGGAACTTTGATCAGTGGACCATCAGCCGCCAACGCCCCAGCCGTTGACTTGGATAACTGGAAGGCTTGGATGTCCAAGGTGGCAGCCAACGACGCCGTTCCCGATATCTACTCCTGGCATCAAATTGGCGAGTGGCAGCGTGAGCCCGACAGAGTCGTTCCCGATTTCAAGACCCTCCAAAGCACCTACAACCTTCCAGACCGCCCAATCGACTTGAACGAGTACGCTTGGCCATCCGAGCAGAACCCAGCCAATGGCGTCTTCTACCTCTCCCAACTTGAACGCCACAACCTTCGCGGTCTCCGCGCCAACTGGGGCGGCGGTTCCGACCTGCACAACTACATGGCCGACTTGCTCTTCAAGGATGCCAGCGGAGCGTACAAGCCCAACGGAGAGTGGCAGGTATACAAGTACTACGCCCAGATGACCGGCGAGCGCGTTGCCACCACTGCTTCGGCCGACCGGACGTTTGATGTCTTTGCCACCGTTGAGAACAACAGCATCAAGATCCTCGCGGGAACCAGGACCGTTCAGAAAAATTACGAGATCAAAGTCTCTGGGCTCAGCAGGCTCGGTCTTCCCAGCGACGGATCCGTCCAAGTCCGCACTCTTCGTTTCGACTGGGCTGGTACCAAGGCTGAGGTTGGGGGTCCGGTCGATCTGGGTGTCACCAGCATTTCATCCGCTTCTGACAGCGTAAGTTATCCTTGTCTTTGATTGAAAACTTTCATGTGTGATAGGGATGCTAATTCTTGGTTTTCCAGCTTACGATCATTGTCGAGCCACCTACCAACTCCACCGCATTCGCTTTTGAGCTCTTCTAAGCCTGAGACAGGCGCTTACCATCCTACTCAGTAAATGGGTATGGTCTACTGAATGTTCCCAAGGCAACGAAAGGACAAACCCGAACAAAGGTATTCTTCTCTGTAGATAGATCGATCTTATCGTGGTAGTATATAATCAAAAGTTCTCTACCCGTCTTGCAGAAACTAAGAGTTCCGTAATTCCATGGCATGAGACTCACCTATCTTAGTCACTGCAAGTTCAGTATGTCCATGGTCAAGTAATAGAACTTCAGCTACCTAAACGCAACCAACTGCAAGGCTGGTATTCTGAACTTAGTGCAGTAAACCTATGTGCCGAGTTTGGCTGTTTATTGCATGCGATCACCGGTGAGACTGAGGCAAGACATTGACAAAAACAAAAGTGTTATTCAATTACTATGGGTATTTCCTCCGACTCAGACACGGCACATTCTTCCATTATCAGCAACACTCCACGACTCGCTGCCAACGGCGTTGCGAACGTAGAAGAATCCTTCAGGGTCCCACTTCTGCTTCAGGCACAGGAGGGACTTGTAGTTGCTGCCAAAGAACTCGGTCTGGAAGTTGGGCTGCTGGAAGTCGGCCTCATTCATGTAGGCACCACCAGTGGGGGTGAGAGCCTCAATCTCCTTCATGATGACGTTGGTCATGAGGTCCTGGTTGGCAATCATCTCCTCCCAAGGGGCGGTGAAATTCCAGACGGTGGTCAGGGTGGCGTGAACGAGGGCGTTGCGCCAGGCGGGGGTGACAGAGTTGGTCTCCTTGGTGCCGAACTTGCCAACGTCGGTTCCGACGCCGATGAAGGTGGCACCCTTCTCGGCGACGCTACGGGAGAAGGACCCGATGTTGGTGATGTTGTCGCGGGGAATGAGGCGGCCGCCGTACTGGGCGATACCGACCTGGATGTTACCGATGGGCAGAGGGCCGAAGTACTTGTCGTAGTGGTTGTAGTAGCTCTCGTATTCGGTGTAGGTGGTGGTGTAGTTCATGTTGAGAGCGTCGAGACGGGCGACGAAGGGGGCGAGCAGGGTCTTGACCTCATCGGCGGTCTTGTTGTACGCGTTGAGGGGGGCGATCTGGAAGAAACCAGCGGCGAAGTAGTAGACGACCATGGAGCCGCCGTCGACCATACCGGCAAGCTCCTCGTGGAAGGCGTCGATGGCGTTGAAGAAGGCAGTGTTGTCGTTGTCGGCGGCCATCATGACGAGAGTGGCACCACCGAACTTGGCATCGGCGTGAGCCTTGACGGTCATGGAGGTGACAACACCCCAGTTACCGGGGCCACCGCCGGAGAGAGCCCAGTAGAGATCAGCGTTCTCGGTCTGGGAAGCAGTCAGGAGAGTACCGTTGGCGATGACGACCTGCCACTCCAGGACATTATCGGCGCTGAGACCGAAGGAAGTGGACAGAGCACTGTGGCCACCACCCTGGGTGTAACCTCCAGCAATACCGACGGTAGGGCATTCGCCGCCAACAACAGCAAGGCCGGCGTTGTGGGCAGCCTCCATAACGTCGAAGCCTTGGGTACCGGCACCGACCTTCATGGCCTTGCCGGTGTAGGAGGCGGTGTTCCAGTCAACAACCTCGGTGCTGGTCAGGTGGTGAGTCCAGACGGAGAGGGCCCCGGCTCCGGTAGAGCGACCAAGGTAGTCATGGCCGGTATTACGGATGATGAAGCGAATATTGTTCTTGGCGGCGAAGGAGATAGTGGCCGCGATGTGCTCGGGGGTCTTGGCGTCGACGGCGTAGACAACGTAGTTACCCAGAGTACAGGCACGAGACTGCGGTTGGAATGGGTCGCAGCTCTGGTTGGCGAAGAAGGGAGCCATGATGGAAGAAGAAGATCCCATGCTACATCATCGTTAGTCACTTGATGTCGTCAATATCATGAAGATGGGATCGACACTTACTGGATCTCCGCATCCTGCCATTCACTCTGCAGAGTAGCGCAGGTGGCCGCATCGTAGACGGGGTCGTGGCAAGGCGCGCCAAGAGGGACAGTCGCAATCAGGTTGCCGCCAACAGTGGTGTTGAGGGCATCCCACTGCGCCGTGGCAGGCCAGCAAGCATCGCCGGGGAAACACTTGCAGTCACCGGCGGCGCGCTCAGTGAAGGCGGTGCCGATTCGGTGGTTCGGAGCAGCGAGGGCCGCACCGGCGAGGGCCGCTTGGAGGACAAAGCTCTTCATCTTGGACTACTTTACTTTGACCTGGGTTGGAAAGGCAAAGGCAAAGGCAGCGCAATGTGAGACAAAGATCGACGGCTGAAGGGAGACAGAGGGCGGGGGGAGGGGGCAGAGGAAAAGAGAGGGAAATGCCGCTGGACCATTTCATCAAAAGAAAGTTTTTCCTACCGGTGGCCATGGGCATCACTTTTAGTATGCTGCAGGAAGTGTCCTACCCGACCTCCGGGACCACGGCATGGAGGTTTGGAGAGTCCATCTCGACAGGGAGGACGCTTCCCGACTGGGGTTTCGACCGAGATTTGGGGTCCTATAGAAGGCGGACTTCGCCCCCTCAAACTAGTGGAAGTTTGCCGCACTTCTTACCTGTTGCTGATGAATCCGTCTTGCTATCGTTCGAGAAGGGAACAATAACGGGAAGAAGCCCCTAGGGTCGATTTTCGTGCAGTGCCGTTTGTGGCTGGTTCCCTCTTGTTCCCCTGCCATCCCTGGCCAGGGGCGGTAAAGCGTTGCGGGCTGTGGAGCGGGAGACGAGGTCGATATCGTCCTAGATATCGGCCGGACACCAGGGATGCCGGGTGCCTCGGTCTATCGGCCACTAGTGGCCAGGACGGTCAGCGAGTCTGGAGACTGGAGCCCGGAGTGCGAGACTTGACAGTCGACACCGGACATCCTGATACCTATCTCCGCCTGAAAC